AATGCTCATAGATTTTGCAACAGTGGTTGGAGAGACAAGATTCGCAAACATAACGAGACGTCGTGGGAATCCCGCGGTCACAACAACCCGTTGGCAGGACTTCATCCCGCTTGCAAACAAAACCTGGAGTAATGAGTTTAAAATTGTATTCCCTGATCCAGTATGCAGGAAAGAGGCGAAAGCCCAGGGATTCTCAGGAGTTCAAGAGGGGTTTCTCAAAATGTCTCACGAATCACTTACACATCATCATCGCAGTTGGGGGAGGGGGGGGGGGGCATATCTACCTTTTAATCTGCCTTCGTTCGTTGAATATAAAATAATCTCCAAGTCCTCCCAAATGATTACTCCCCGATACTTTCTCGGAGGTCAAAAAGGAAACATGAACACCAAAAAAAAAAAAGAAAAACCGCTCCAGGACAAGGCACATCCGGTTTCATAAACTTGCAACTTAAAATGTTTCAAGTCTATTAACTATTGTAGTAGGACTTCTGCTAAACCTCTCGCGTGAATTGCAGCGATTCCCGAACTTCGGACAAGCTTTGTTCCCCCACAACGAGGATCTCGGACTCGGCGAGTCAAGATTTTGAAATTTATTCATTAACTTAAATTGAAATTTCAATTCAATCTTAAAATGTGGAGAAACAATGAAAAAGCTAAAGCTCAATCATGAAAAATGTGCATCGTATAAAACACATAAAATACATAAGTGAATGAAACGCTAGAGGGGAAATTCAATAGAGAGAGCAAGCGTAATGAAAGCCGTATCAATGCACTAAGAATAAAAAAATTTATTGTAATTGCAAAGGTAATTAAATTAACTACAATTTGACATTTTTCGATGCTTCAGCTTTACTTTTTCAAAGATATTTGGATGCTGGAGATTTTTTCAAGGTTTTCCCCATTTACAGAGCAACATTTCGGACCTCAACTATACGTCCGGATGTCAAAAAGTGTTTTTTACATAATCTCCGGAACTCGAATTTTTCTGACCCGCGCGTTTTCAATATCGGGGAACCACTACACAGTACAGTACAGTACTGTCCTCTACTTCCTTTCCAACAACAGGTGAGGCGGAATATGATCTAACCTCGATCATCCGCGATCAACTGCAAGCCCTGTACTGAATTTCTGCACGGGGCCGAGGAGCTTTTCGCAACAGCAGTTTTAGGCAACGCTTCCTCGGGATTTTCCCCGCCTTGCAAGTGGCGCAGAGTGTCGTTGCTCGTCGGGTCGGCATCCAACGGCGGTGCAACTTCCACCCGGTCATCATCCGGGCTGCGCCACGGGAAATTTCCGACACCGCCTCCGTCTTTCTGCCACTTGGGAACGACACTGAGTTCCTCGGAATTGTCGTCGATCAAACCCATTGAACGAGACTAGACATGTGAACCATACCGAAAGGGTTGAAAATATTTCAGAGATACTGTACTGCACTGTATTCGACGATAATCGAGAGGGAATTAAGCAAAACTTTCCTAATACTGTATATTTGTCTGATGACTTCCATCCCATTTAGACTACAGAGGCCAATGGTTTGATAAAAATAAGCCATACCAGCTTTTCGGTAAATAATTTAATTCGATCAATTCCAAAATTGATTGGCGTCGGAATACCGAACTACAAGAGCGGTTATAAGTTTTTCTAAAAATCCCTTGTAGCGACCCTACGCACACAGAATTCTGCCCGTGACAAGGAAAAAAGTATTAATATTCCTGATTCGGACAACTCAGCTTTTTGAAACGATAGTCTAATAAACGAGATGTGTGTTACAGAACTGGAATCGTTTCATAACTGTATGAAATGTTAGGAAAGCGGATTGGATCTCACTGACAGAGGGGTCAAGCTTTCCTATTTGTTTTACCCTCAAGTTAAAAGTTAACCGTGACTGATCGAAGTTTCATGGGGCATTTTTCGAGGATATCAAGGTCACACATCCAGTACTTTATTTGCCAAGAAAATACTTGGATTTTTATATTCCTTGACTTGGCCCTTGAAGATTTTCGGCTGCTTGCAAATGTAATCAGAGGTTTTGGGATGCTTCTNAATACAGTACTTCGAGAACACTCGGGCATCTCAATTTAAAGCTTTCAATTGTTTTCCTAAAATAAAGCAGTAGTCATCAACTTACAATAAATGCATATTAACTAAAAAAAATTCTTTTAAAAAAATTCAGAGCTGCACTTGACAGTAAATGGAATTTTTCCTGGTGCCTCTCGCAATTGCATAATTCAAGATCAGAACTTTTCTCAGCCCACGAAAATATTTGAGCGTAAAATATGGTACATTCACAAACCATGACAATACAGAGTTTCGAGAGAAAAAAATGTTCGCGGTTGGGATTGAAAAATGACTGATAACAGCGCGGATTACAGAACAGAAGTAGGACCAACTCACCCCATAATGCAGGCTGATCAGGAAATAGGACAACGAAAAGACGAAGATAAGTCCCAGAACGAGGCGCTTGCGAATGATCCGCAACACCGACGACAGCCACAAATAGCACAAAGAATGCGGCTGTTGTGTCTGTACTTGGGTTTGTGGAAGCCCAACCCACACAGAATCACTTCCTCCGTTCATCCCACACGTTTGGAACGCGGATTCTTCCATATTTCACGAAACGCGAACAGCGGATGCATTGAACCTCATTTTCACGCTTCGAACCGCGTCGAGATGCACTTCAAAGCTACTTGAAATAAATTAAAAAACGCATGTAAGACATCACTCAGTATAAGAAAATTTTCGAAAAACATTCATGACGCGTTTCTTATTTCCATCCGTAAGAGAAAAACCTGGTAATCTGCCAATCAAAAATCTGCAAAATTTACAAGTACGCATCCAAATATTTTACTCACTGATTTTATTAATCAACAGCGTTCAAGATTTCGAGAATTACGATAAGACGTAACCGTTCTATTTAAGCAACTAAAAAGACTCCCATGATTGCTTCAATTTTTCATCCCCTCAAAAGTTGACAGACATATACAAAAATTAATACGAGGATTGCTCCAGTTGGACGCGACCTGTTATTTTTAGATTACGTCTGATTTTAAAAATAATCATGACATAACCATGATGTCTACAAGTTTCTGAGATTTTATTTTTTTATTTTCAAGCAAATATTTCAGTTTACTGCATAACTGAAAACTTTCCAGTTACAGCCCGGACTCTCCACCCATGTCACAGGGTGCTAAAAATGTGACGCCAGAAAAAGTAATCTTCGGTTGCTTAAAGCATCATCTTTTCCACATTTTAGATAAGTTAAAAAACAGCAAAATTATTTTTTAGCTAGCCTAAAAAATTTCTAGCACCCTGCGACATGGGTGGAGATCTTTGGTTGTAATTTGAAAGTTTTCAGTTAATATGCAGTAAGTTGAAAAAATTTCTTAAAAGATAAGAAATAAATCCCAGATCTTCAGAACATCATGATTTGTATCATGGTTTTTTTTTTTACAATCGCACCTTAAAGCGATTGTAAAATATTCGCGGTCGCTCCCAAGTAGGACAACCATCGTACATCAATACTACAGAGCCGCCCAAATACGTTAAAATTTTAACGTTCTATTTATGCCCCTTTACTGACAAAACATTGACATAAAAAACAGCGGAAGATTCACACACAAGATATCATTAAAATCCTTTTTTTCGCGATTCAAAATCAGAAGAGTGCGCCTTACAATCGCGAAAATACCCCAGTATTTGAAACCAAATATATATCAGATGCCTTCATTAGGTTGTACGTTTTTCGATGGCAGGATGAAAATAGGGAATAAAACGAAAACAAACGAAGGCTTTCCAAACTTTTCATGTTCGTTGGCAAGCACACGAATCCATATTCAGCAGCGACGAATCCGAACCTCAAAAACCCCTGCTCGAAGGCGATGCAGTGACTCTC